CAAATGCGCTTTACACAATTGATGTGTGTATGGATTGGGATAACAGTTGTATAAGCCCCTAATAAAATGCTTAAAAAACAAACAAACAAATAAATAAACAAACTCCCAGCCAGTGGTGGGAGGAGAAGGAATCAAAAAAAAAAAAAAAGAAAGAAAAGAAAAGAACTGCTCACAACTGGAAGTAGCACTTTAATATCAAAACAGTTCAGCTCTATTAAATGTCATGTTTAGGTGCTTCACTCCTGACAAGCTGAAAGAAATTCTAGGATCATTTTACATCAGGAAACAGGTTTACTGAGAGTGACTGGTTTGGCCTTTCACGGATCAACATTAATTACAGGTTTTATTGTATTCACATCCCTGCAGAAGTAAAGTGTTTTTTTCAGTTTAAGTTTCTTTTTCTAAGAATGTAGGCAAAAAAAAAATCACAGCAATTACCAAAAGATGGGGGGCGGAAGCAAGAGTAAGAAACTATATATTAGAATAGGAAATGGAAACAAATAAAAAATAATTTAGATTGGCCTGAATATCTAGATGGACTCCCAAGCCATGTAACAGCCTGAAGTGAAAGGCCACAGACCTGAGACGAGGGCCTGACCACCACACTGCACGGATGCGGTGGGGAGATCAGTGGCTGGCATTAAACTGGAACCAGTCGTTGCCAGACGCAGTCCCGTCAGGCTGGATTCACAGCAAGAGCAAGCTTGGAGGAGGGTCCTGCCCCGGCCTCACTACTGTTATGGTGGAGCCTACTGTTGCCACCACGGTGTCAATCCATCTCGTCAAGGGGCTTCCTCGTTTTCAATGACCCTTTAAATCCTCTTCAATTCAGCAAGCAAGCAGGGTGCATCACTCTCATCTCACAGGTGGTTAATGAGTCTTCCTCTGATCCAGACCCCACCTTCCTCTTCACATAGCCCAGCTTCTTGGATTATTCGCTCAGCGTGCACACTGCGGAGGTATGGTGACAGGCTACAACCGTGTCACACGCCCTACCTGATTGGAAATTGCGATGCATTCCCTTGTTCTGCTTGAACGTCTGCCTCTAGGTCGGTGCGTGCACAAGCACAGGAGGTGCTCTGGATTCCCACTCTTCCCATGGTCTTCCACAGTCTGTTCAGGCCCTAGCAGTGAATGCCTCTGCACAGTCAGTGTAACGTACCCATCTGTCTGGTAGGCGCTGATGTCAGCTGAACCCAACCCTGCTTTCACTTACTTCTCAATTCATCTCCAAAGTTCAGGGGAAAAAAGCACAACTCTTTTTTTCACATGTTAAGGTTAACGTCCCTGAAAGTATTGTTCTGAGAGACTAGATCAAATTTTCCCAAACAGGCCTAAGGCCCAAAGTCTCCTTCACAGGTGATGCACAGAACTCGAAAATCAATCCAGATGTGTGCATGGTGGGGTCGATTCCAGCTTGTGGTGCCTCAGTGTGCACAGAGGAGAACAGCTTCCTGTGGCGCTCGGCCCAGCAGCCCCTGGGGGTCCCAACCACTGCCCTTGCACCTCCCAGTCGAGGGCTTCAGCACACGTGCCCATGAAGCCAACTTTACACAGACACACAAATGAAACCACAGTTCTTCGAAATAATATTTAGCCTCAATACAGGCAATGTACACTCCCATTTTTCCTATTCTTTTCTTTAAAACTTCTGATTGCAACCTGCAGATGGTAAGAAAAGAACCATGAATGACTGCATGGGGTTCATTTCTCCCACAAGAGGGGTGGGAGGGGCCAGATAGCCACCTCCCTGTTTTGAAGTCGATCCCAGGCTGCGCAGTGAAAGCTTCCCTTTGTAGGTTGTGAAGACATTCCTCGTGGAGGGCAAGGGGGACTAACAGTGCTCAGACCAGGTGGGGAAAGACTGCCCTGACGGAGGACGCTGGCCTCTGTAGTATCCTCACCACCCACCCTACTGCTTCAGATCAGAAAGCAGAAAGTACGCAGTGAAGAGCAAGTTGAAAGTCTCAAAAACAACAAGTGGTTTAGGTTTTCTGTTCCCCAAGCCTCCTCCTGGCAAACTCCAGAAACAGAAAACTGCGTTGCCGCTGGGATTGGAGAAGGAGCCTTGCATGTAGTTACTCACTAAGCTGCTCCACAGGAACAAAATGAGGCTGTCTGTTGCTGTAAAGATTTAGTCTCAGAAACCCAAAGGGGCAGTTCTCCTCTGTCCTGTAGGGTTATGATGAGTCAAAATCTACTTGATGGTCACAGATGGAAGTGGTGGCTGGGGTCAGAGACGGTGCTGAAGGGGGACTGCCACTGGTCCCTTGGGCTTCCTCCCCTCCCCCGCTTCCCCCTTCAGGCTCCTCCCTGGAAAGCGGCCAAAAAACAAACAAACTAAACAAAAAACCTCACTGCTATCAAATGGATTCTGGCTCATACAGCCTGGAGGCTTGGTTGAGCTGCTACTACAGGTTGTTGGCCCAAGCCCACCGGCCGCTCCGCAAGAGAAAGATGAGGCTGTCTGCTCCTGTAAAGATTCACAGCCTTGGCATCTCACAGCCTCACAGGCACTTCTGCCCTGTCCTGTAAGGTCAACTAGGCCTGCTTAACGACCTCGGTAAAAGCTAAACACTTGGCTCATGCTTCATGTCTGCTCTCTCTCAAACGTGTGCTTGTTCTTAACCTCACTGAGGTTCCCCCAAATACAGTGCCCCCCCAAAACCTCAGCATGGGACGCTCCACTGAGAACCAATGTCAAGCTGTCCCTCTAGGCCTGGCTCTCTTCCTTCCCTCACGCTGATGGACTCGAGCGACATGACTGGCCAGAGGAGCTGGCTCCGTCCTTCCTGTGTCTGCCACACCCTAAACCAGTGGTTCTCAACCTTCCTAACTCAGCGCCCCTTTACTACAGTTCCTCATGTTGTGGGGACCCCCCCACCATAAAATTATTTTTGTTGCTACTTCGTAACTGTAATTTGCTACTGTTACGAATCGGGCGACCCCTGTGAAAGGGTCATTCGACTCCCAAAGGTGTCACAACCCACAGGTTGAGAACCGCTGCTCTAAACCCACGGCTCCAGGGCAGGAGGAAAGTCAGCATGAAGAGGTACACAGTCCCATGCTCCAGTGCAGCAGAAGCTGGGTTAGCTTTCCAATCTTCCCTCCTCTCGGGAAGTCTCCACAGGCTCAGACTCACCAGCTCTACTCTAGCAATGCACAGGAGAGCAAGATGCCCCGCTGAGTGGTGGGGGGGGGGCGGCGTCTATCGAGGGTCCGACACCAGGGACCGGAGACTCGGAGCTACATGGACTGCGTCCACTCTGCATGGGGAGCCTCCACAGAAGAAGGCTAAACAGAGACTCCTGTTCTTTGAAGAGATGATCCTTTAGGGTGTTAAATATGTCGGCTAAGAAATGGAAATCTTAAAAAAAGAAAAGATGGGGTGTGTGTGAGCTGAGATGAAGTAGTTTCCCCCGCAGAAGGGGGGAAAGCAAACAAATGCACATGCGTCTGGTAAGAAAAGGGACAAGGAGAACCGAGGACGGATGAGGCTGCTCTTGGCCGGGGCCCCTCCTGCGTGGCTGGACAGGCGCAGAGGGAAACAGCCAGTTCCCGCAGGAGTCAAATGGCCGTGAGTCGGAACTGACTCAGCGGTATCTCCCACATGGATGGCAGGTCCTGGGATCCTGCTCGCCAGAAGGCAAGCTTTCAGAAAGTCTCCTCTCCTATCGGGGTGGCGGCTCACGTGTTGGGCTGCTAACCGCCACCCAGCATAAGTCTGACACCACCAGCCCCTGGAGAGAGAGGGGCGGGTTTCTGCTCCGGGAAAGACATACCGCAGGGGAACCCTGTGCAGGCTCGCCAGCTGTCGGTGGGACTCCACGGCAAGGGCTTTTTCCAACTCCATAATCATGGCAGCCAACTAGACTCTGACTCCCAGGAACCCCACAGGACAGAGCAGAGCTGCCCCAAAGGGCTCCCCTGCTTTGCCCGCCTCCCCTTTCTCCTGTGCTGGGCTCCAATCACCAACCTGCTGGTTCCCAGCCAGGTGCTTCGCCACTATGCCACCAGGGCTTCCGACTCACCAGCAGTTACTTATTTATGACCACATGATTTCCGATCTTAAAGAAAACCTTAGCTCAAACTTTTCACAGCGTCTTTCTTTTCCTGCATCATTAACATTTTGACATACCTTTCAAGAGAAGTCTGAGAATGAAAAAAAAATGTGTACCTTTTCCAATTCTCTTGGTATTCGCATACAAGTGTACACTCTTTCTCTTCGTTCTGTGTACTTGGCCTCATTATGTTCAAGGAAGTACCCTCTTGTTAGTTCAGCACTGAGGAACCTCAACAATGAAAGTTCTACAGAAAAAGAAAATGACACAAAACAAAAAGAACAGTATTTATCAGGGAACTCGCATACCTGCTGGGGCCACAGGTGACGCAAACATAAAATAAGAGAACCAAACCAAGCCGTGTATGACTCTGAGCGACAGGAAGAACTGCCCTCTATCGCCCATGGGACAGCTGAAAAGACGGCTCTCCACCGTGAGTACGCAGAAAATGCCCCGGGGTACGCGGTCAGGAACGGGACTTTCTCCCAGGGCCCAGGCTTGCGTCAGGCAGGTGAAACAGGCCCCGGGCAGATGGAAATGCAGAGAAGGGGAAGAACAGATATCAAGAAGACAGAAAGAAGACTCCACTTGTGCTGAGTCCAAAGGGAGCCGAGCCACCTAAAGGGCAACGCTGTAGCCCAAGAGCCACCGGTGCACTTTCTTTTCCTTGGTCCAGGCTCAGGGACGTCGATGCAGGTCTCGCAATGCCATCTGTCTCTGCAAAGGCATCCCCACATGACGGCAATCACTACTGCTAAGGAAGCAGAACCTCAGCTAGATGTGCAAGCCCTTTTTTCCCTGGCTCGTCCATTCCATCTGCCTATGTTTCCTCTGCCCCATCTAAGCCAATCCATCTATGGCATCTCAGGCTGCTACACCTCCCACCGCGGCTCTGGTGTCCCTCCACACAGATGGCAAGCACGGGCCCAGGAGACTGAGCACACCCCAGGCCTCCATGCTAGACAGGATGGAGATGAGGAGCTAAGGGTGCTGAATGAAGCCTGGTCCCAACTTCCTGCCCTGACTCAAGACACTAGAGATTTCCAAGGATCCTCTTGGCTCTTTACTGGTCTCCTGGTACCTTCCCACAATGTGCTTTCCGTGGATGCTCCAAAGGATGGCAAAGAGGGCAGGCTGGCTTCACTTGTACATGTGTCTCATTAGTGGAGTCCCTGGGTGGCACCTGACCACTAACCAAAGTCTACTGGTTCAAATCCATTGAGGCACCTGGGAAGAAAGGCCTGGCATTCTGCTTCCAAAAGACCACCGCAGCCATGAAGACCACTTGGGGTGCTGTTCTATGCTGGGACGCATGGGGCTGCCCCGACTAGGGCTTGATGACTGGATAGTAACGGGCTCCATCATGTCATGATGAAGGCACAGGGCAGGGAGGGCAGTGTTACTTCTATTGTACACGGGTCACTGAGTCTGAGCCAACCTGAGGGCACGCCTTCATTAAGGGATAAACAGCATATTGTCAAAGATACCCTTAAGACGCTCTTAGAAAGACACAGCAGAAAGAGATTACCTTGCAAGTAGCTTGCTTCCTTCCACCCTAGAACAGTTTACTATTTCTTGCCGTCTCCTTGATTATGTTTACCAACAAACAAAAACAAAACCAGTACCAGTGCCCATGGACTCAATTCCAACTCACAGCACAGACAGGGTGGAGCAGAGCTGCGCTGTGGCCCTCACAGAAGCAGCTGACACACCTGTCCCCCTTGGAGCAGCTGCATACTTAAACACTGCACCACCAGTGCTTCTTGCTTGTATTTTCAAATGGAATCCAAACCTAGCACTGTGGAGTTGATCCTGACTCAGAGTGACCCCTAAGGAGCAGAGTCAAACTGCCTCATAGGGTTTCTGAGGCTGTAAAACTTTACAGAAACAGACTGTCATGTCTGTCCTGTTGAGTGGCTGGTGGGCTTGAACCAGCAATCATTCAGTTAACAGATGAGTGCTCTGACCACTATGCCACCAGGAATCCCGGCTGCTTATGTTTAGCAAGCCATATATTATACAAAAATGGACCAACAGACAACATCATGATAGCGTGAGAAAAGACTCAAGTGCTCAAGGATTTCATTTTGCTCGAATCCACCATCAAAGTTCATGCAAGCAGCAGGCAGAAAATCAAATGGTGAACTAAGTGCACAGCGCCAGCCTGTTGCACAAGACATCTTTAAAGAACTAAGGAGTGAGGATGTCACTTTGAGAGCGAAGTTGTACCAGACCCAAGTCATGGTGTTTTCAACGGTCTCCTCATATGCATCTGAAAGCTGGTCAAAGAAACAGGAAGATTGCAGAAGAATGGATGCATTTGAATTATGGGGTTGGTGCAGGATACTGAAAGTACCACTGGACTGCCGGAAGAACCATATCTATTTCGAAGAAGAACCAGAGCATTCCACAGGAATGAGGATGTCGTTCATACTTTGGACACACTGTCAGAAGAGACCAGTCCCTGGAAGAGGTCATCCGGCTTGGGAAAGGAGAGGGTCAGTGCAAAGAGAGGACAGCTCTCGATGTGCTAAGCTGACACCCGGCTGCAGCGAAGGGCTTGAGCAGACGAACAGAACTGTGAGGATGGGGCAGCAGCGGGCGGTGCTTGGTCCTGTGTGCACAGGGTTGCTATGAGTCCAAAAGGACTCAAGGGCCCCTAATGATCTTACACAAAGCGAAAGCACATTTATTAAGTACCCGAATCCCTTCTATTTGCAGCCTGTGAGACGGCTCGGAGGCATCTGAGAGATGAGTGATGAGGGGAGGCAGGCCCCACTGCCCACTGTGCCTCCACCTCTCAGCACTTGCACAGCTGGCGCTGTCCTGTAAGGTCAAGGTACACACCAGTATCTGGGTGTCTGGATCACAAAGCCTCGCAGTGTACCCCTTTGGGCTGGACTTCCTACGACTATCCAGGTTGGCTGGCAGCAGAGCCAGACCCAGTGAGGGAGGAGCAGGAGCAGAAGCAGAAGCAGATGCCTGCAGAGCGGAGGCACCAAGGGTTGTCAAGAAGTGGCGGTCAGAGCCAGACTCTGGCCAGGTGGTTTCCAGCAGGGAAGGTAGTCTTCATCAGCTGAAGCCCATAAAGCTCATTCTTTCTGGACACAAACTGAGCAGCAACTGGGTCTCAGAAAGCAGAGGCGGTTCCCCGAGAGTTCACCTTGGCCCTGGGAAGCCTTGAATTGAGAGCACCTGCCAGATGGCCCTTCCCCCCTACCCTCCAATCCTGGAATACACCTCCCCTTTGGGGACATAGTTCTGTCCCACCTCTCTGGTGGCTTTGTGCATTTCCCTCCACCCCCATCTGACCTTTCCCAAGCTCCCACTGCATCCTGACCCAATGCACCTTACAGGAACACCCTGGCCACTCTCCCAGGACCCTTGGTCCTGTGCCTTTGCTCCCTGTGCGCATTTTGGACTGCCCCAGCCATCCCCAAGGCTTAAACCAAATCCCAAACCTGAAGTCCCAGGTCTGAGTTTTGGGCCCATAGGTCCTGGGCCTATGGCACCCACACAGCCTGCCACATATCTACCGCCTCCATATCTGAGCTTGGCACCACCCCATGCCTGGGCCAACGTCTGCCCCTCCCTTGCAGGAGCAGCAGGGAGCAGTGATCACACAAGGACCGTTTAGGGCAGTGGAAGAGGCTTACTGGCAGAGCCTCACCCCCACGTAAGAGCTGCCAGAGATCCACAGGAACCTCGGTGTACCTTTGTAGGCCTGCTGCCTAAGAGCGACTGTGACTTCCAGCGACCCGGCAGGACAGAGCAGAACTACCCACTAGGGTATCTGTGACAGGCCAGTTTGATGAGAGCAGGCACACCCCATCTTTCTTCCAAGGAGAGTTTGTAAGTTCGAACTGCTGACTTTGCAGTTAGCATGCCAACACTTAACCCACAGCGCCACCACGGCTCCTTGAATTTACATGTGGTGTGCCAAGAAAGGCACCTGAGCCTCGAAGCCCCCTCAAAGAAGTGAGCCTGGGTCAGGGCAGGCTCCAGGCTTCAAGGAAGGGACACATGGCTGTACACAGGAAGGGCAGCGCGGGCAGCCCTATATCGTGCCATCTGTTACAGGGAGACAGACATGGGTGGCTGCTCAGCAGGGGTCAATTTAAAGGGCAACAGAGATAAGACGGCTTAGACAGCTCTCCCCGTGTGGACTGAGAAGCCTCCATCGAGGGGTCTTCCGTTAACTATAAGGGACTCAATTTGCACCTCGAGGGGTCTGTGGCAATCCCTAAGAGCTCAGGGTTAGACATGAGAAGGAGGAAGCCCTGGGACCCTGGTCAGTTCACAAACCTCAGAGGCTCCAAGCAGCTTCCAAGCCCTGCTCACAAACCCACCCACCTCCCACAAAGAACTGTCGCAGGCCACGGGAGAATCTGGAAGAAGCGCCTACGAATCCACAGCGTGACCCCGTGCTGAGTGCTGGAATCCCAAGTTCGGCGAGATTTACCAGTCCTGGTTGGGCAGCAACCCAAGGCTTTGGCGGTTCTCGGGTTACCAACACAATGCCACTGGATGCATGGGTACCACAGCAGAGAAGCCCAGCCTCAAACACACAGCTTTTCTGCAGACCCCTGAAGCCTCCGCACATGAACAGATGCTACTTCCCTCTCTACACCGTGTCTGTCTGTCCATCTCAGTGCTACTTGGAAATTAAACCCAATCAGTTTTATACAGAGAATGCAGAGGGGGTAGATTTATCAGTATTATACAAGATGAACATTTCTGCTACTCTCTAAAAATAGAACACATATTGTTGAAAAGTAAATAATGACAAATCTACATAATCTAAATTAGGTCACTTTCAATAAGCAAGTTCTTACACAATACGTACACACACACACACATCCAAAGACTCCCTCAAACTCAAACTCACTGCCATGAGTCAATTCTAACTCATACAAAACCTTATAGGGCAAAACAGAAGTGCCCCTTTGTTAGTCTGAGTAAACTAGGAGGAAAAAAATCCACAGAAACTCCTATGTACAAGACAGCGTTTTATATAAAGGGCGAGTGTTCATTAAGAAAGCATCCCAACCCAGTGCTGTCCAAGCCTAAGTCCAACATTAGCCCATATGTCCAACACCAATCTAAAGTCCTCCTCCATCTCACATAACACATGCAATGATGCCAACTGTAGGAGGAAAGCCAAATCAGTGAATGTGTAAGTAACTCAGTGCTGGCAGGGGTCTCCATGCAGCTGCTCCAGCACCCATCAGAATAGGTCCATGCGGC